ACCCAGTTTAAGAGGATTTTTATCCTTTTTCCTCTAAGTTGTGTCAGAAAGTTGATAGTTTCTTGAACTATAGTTAACTTTGTGCGCAGATTCCTGATTAGAGTTAGGGCCATTTTGTTATCGCTGTTGATGTGTATTGTCTTGTTTCTGAACATTGGCTTGTCTGATATATTGCAATACCCTCAAAATAGCCAAACTTTCAGCTTGGTTATTTGATAATTGCATTCCTAGTTTGAAGCAGGCCTGGTAAATTGACCGTCCAGAGGTGTTATTAACAACTAATGTGCACCCAACGCCCTTGGCAGATTTCGACCCATCAGTAAACACATTGTACATTTTGTCATTTACTGCTGGTGCCTCAGTAATTTCCAGGTTTGGTTCAGCAGGGTGAACTATGTTAGTCTTTTGATGTGAGTCCAGGCTGTAGTTCTGGATGTCTTTTATAAGTTCCTCCACAGAAGCACGAACAATGGGAGTTTGAATGCTCTTTGCCCTTTGACCTAAAAGATGGTATTTTCAATATATTTTTAGAACTTTTAGGTCTAGTGGTAGAATGTTTGAAATTACTTGTAATGTGTTCATCAGGCTTGTTCTGTATGCTTTAGCTATCAATATTAAACTCATTCGTTGGATTAAGGTGTTTCTTAATGTTTTGCTTGTTGGCAACTTCTCCCCAGATCTCCACCCCATTAAGTAATAGCCAGTTCAACTGCACATTTATAGATTGTCTGGCTGGTCTTATAATTTATTCCCCATGTGTTCTGGGAGATGCAGTGCAGAGAGTAGGCCATCTTAACTTGCCTTGTTATGGATATGGTGAATGTGTGATTTCCATGTTAAAGTCTCGTCAATCATCAGTCCTAAGTATTTGATCTCTGAGTTATGTTTAATCCTATGCCCAGGCAGTTCAACTGCTGGTTTCTTATTAGGTGGGTGATGCCGTGGGAAAAGTATACTTGCACATTTACCTGGGTTGATTATCAGTTTTTTCTTTTCTGCCCAGAGGTTTACATTTTTTAGAAGTTTGTTCATCTGAATCTGCAAGATTTCTTAGTTTTTGTGTGTCATCAGAATCATTGTATCGTCAACAAATCCTAATATATTGATAGTGATGTCTGCTAAGGAGGTTTCTTGGAGACTGAAAATATTATATTGCGCAAGCACAGAATTGGCCCAGACAACGAGTCTGAGGGCACCCTCGGTCTATATCGCTCATGATAACATTGGAGCAGAGCATTATGCTTGCTTTTCTTTCCATAAGGAAACTCTTATAGAGCCCGTAAATGTTTTTAGAGCAATTTGCTTCTTTTAGTGCTGAGAGGATAGCTGGCCACCACATGTGGTCAAATGCCCCTTGAAAATCAATTGATACTGCCAATGTATGTCTGCCATTTTGTTTTGTGTTCCTTATCAACTCAATCATCTGGTGTAGTACCGTAATCGTACTCGTCTTTACTGAATCTGTGCTGATTGGTATGGAGAAAATTTAATCTTTTCCATTTTAAATTCCAGTCTTTTACATATTAACTTCCGTAAGAGGGTTAGTCAAATATGGCACTATCACGATGTAGTGGAGAATAAATGTGGGAAATTTTTTAAGAATTTTCCCACACATTTTTCTCGTTTCTGTTTCGGAAAAAAAAAATTTTAACAGTTATATCTAGTAAAGAAAAATCTTTCTTTATTGTCACATAATTCCTTTTTTCTGTGATTTATTTTTGCGGTAATTTTTGTCTAGTTTTTGACAATATCCCCAAAATTGTTTTGTGGATGTAGATGATGTTCTCCAGTGCCATGTGATCACACTTGACGGGTATATTCATTCACTGCAGAGTACCGTGTTTCCCCGAAAATAAGACATCCGCAGAAAATAAGACCTAGCACAGATTTTGCTGAATTGCGAAATATAAGACCTCCCCCTGAAAGTAAGACCTAGCGAAGTTTTTTTAGTCGTAACGGTCATCGACAGATGGTTGAAAGTGGCCGTTGGCTTTTTGAAAGTACAGCCACTGATTGGTCAGCAGACAATTACGCCACACGGCATGATTTGCATAAGACTATGGCTTGGGAATCACAGATTTGCATAACGTTACGGCTGGTGATGGCTAATTGGTCGGCCGGGAATCACGCCACATGACATTTGCATAGTGCTACGGTTCAGTAAGCACTAATTGGTCATCGAGTTCGATGTTGACGCTATAAAAAGGCGACAGTTCGACACACCGGATATACGTCACTCTCGTCTGTTTGACTTGGGCATTTTTTTGTTCAATAATAAATGTGAATTTTTCTTCCTGGAAAAAATAAGACATTCCCTGAAAGTAAGACCTAGCGCCTTTTTCAGAGCAAAAATTAATATAAGACACTGTCTTATTTTCGGGGAAACACGGTAGTTAAGGATTTTCCAAAGATTGGTAGTAGGGTTATAGAGCGAAAGTCCTTTGCTGTTACACTAGTTCTTGCTTGGGCTTTAGGTATAAGCTTGATTTCAGCCCATTTCCAGGCTTTGGGAAAATACTGGAGTTGAAGACATTTGTTGTAAATTATTAACATAGTGGTTGGAATCGCATTGAAAGTATGTTTGGCCATGTTCCCTGTAATTTTGTCTGGGCCTGCAGCTTTCCTCCAGTTTATTTCCTGAAATAATTTGGCAATTTTACTGGAACTAAAGTCCCTGTCTGTGTTAGTGTTCAAGGTGGGAACCTTGAACACTAACACAGGAGGGCACTCCTTCCTAATCTTCACATGACAGCGGCTGTCAATGTCCTCGTGGTCCTGTGGAAAGAGTTCTGAGAGAAGGTATTTGTAAGTCTCTGCTATAGTTTCTGTGAAGTTGCCATCAGCCTTTTTCACAGAGCATGGTATGTGCATGTGCTTGTATTTATTGTATACTAATTTGAAAGGTTTTCCCCATGGGTCTCGGCTGCATGCATTGGCACAGTACTCCTTCCATAAGGCAGACCAAATGTCATTGATGAGTCTTTTGTACTCCCTTTGTACATTGACATACTCCTGACAAAGGGGCTCTCTGCAAGCAGGATCTATCATTTTGCAGAAGTCCTTTTCATTTTTCTGACTTTTCTTTGCATATCCTGGAGGTCCATAGTCCACCAAGAACTTTGTTGATTTGGTCCTTTGTGGTGGTTTCCCCATTGTATGCCTGTTGTACTATCACCGAAAGTTCCTCTATTAGTGTCTAGCTCTTCCTTTGTTTGTAGGTTGATAAAAGGGACTGGCTTCTGTAATTCCTGGACTAATAACTCAAAAAGATCCAAGTTTGTGTGTTGTTTTCTAATGACATTGCCTGGCAGAAGGCTGTGTGATATTGTGGTTCTTACATAGTGATGGTTACTACCCATAATCTTGTCCTCATTAAAACAAGAATAAATGTCACCACAGAGAGAACTGTTGGCCAGGCAGATATCAATCCAGCTCTCTCCTGTAGGAGCAAAGAATGTGGGGAGTCTGCTTGTGTTAAGAGAATATGGCTGTAACTCCTCCATAAAGTCCCTGACAACCTGTCCCCTTGAGTCTTCATTTGGAGCAAACCAAATTGGGGATTTTGCATTAAAATCCCCTGCTATGAAAATATTGCCATGCAATGTCAAAATTAATGTCAAAAGATCATGTCAAAATCAGTCGAAACTCAAGGTCGTGTTGATTGTCATAGTGTTGTGCATCACAGATTCCTTCTGACTGGTCAAACTGTCAACAAAGATTATTATTACATCATTTATGTGAAGCAATTCGTAGAAACCAACCTGATTTGTAAAGGTTCAATACAGTTGCACAGTTGCCTACAATATGGGCACATCTAAATTTTCTGCAAGCTGTAACTTTGACAAGTTTTGTTTCCAATCCTAGGTTGCTTTGTAAAAAAAATATATTCATCTCATTGACCTCTAACTCTCTACATTTATAGCATGTCAAACATTAATACTCTATATACATAGGCTTACATGTATATATGTATTAATTCTTGAATAATTTCTAAAAATCCAGGATGAAATATAATTTTTAAAATTTGAAGACTAAATATAATGAATACAAATAAATAAGAATTTGATGTCTTCACACATCCTTTAAACCACAGAAACGAATTAACATGAACAGAGTTAGCCTTCCTTTTAAGTCGGACTTACAAATACTCATCTTGAAAAATTTCTAAAAACATTTTTATGAGAATCTGGTGCCAGAAAGACTTGTAATCAGTTTACGTATTTTGTAAGCAGGGAAGAGCCTCAAGCAAAAGGTTGACTCTGCTCATGTTAATTGCATTCCAGTGGTTTTTAAGGATGTGTGAAGACATCAAATTTTTATTTGCATTTAGCCTTCAATTTTAAAAAAGAAAACAAAATACATTAATGTTTAATGTGCCAAGGCAATGATTTGATGGTCTTATGAATTTATTTTTATGTAACTGAATATTCCCCAACTTTTAAAATACCCCCTGCTAATTGTGCTAGAAGAGGAATATCCCCCCTGTATATTAAAGTACATGTATATCACAGTATTGTATACTAAGTCACCAAATATTGAAATAATTTTTCAACAGTGTGTTAAAAGTCATGTTCATAAAACATCAAACATTTTACAAAAAATTATCAAATTTAATTATTCATATTCAGAGAGTAATTGTTCCATAAAACTTACAAATGATACGCTTGAATATCTCCAAGCAATTTGAAACAAAAATTGAGTATTAATGTCATTATCTGTTGTTATAAAAAGAGAAACAATTTTTGTTTCCATAATAATGAATTTTGTTTTTTAAATTCCTTTTCATGTTCTTTGAAAATTTTTAAATTTATTGCCTTTACATTTTATGTTTTATGAAATTTAATTATTCCTTTGAATGTGAATAATTAAACTTAAAAATATTTAACAAATTGTTGAGTTTTTATAAACTGTTTTTAAAACATTCTGTTACCAATAGTTTTCAAAAATACATTTCTATCAAATATTTGTCTTTAACTCTATTATACTAGTATTAATCTTACCATGTCCTGTTATATAATTCTTTGATGTGGTACGTAGTGGCGGTGGAGGTGGCGGATTATTATTTACAACAGCTGGATTCAAATTAGAAAGTGTTGCAACTGAACGTTTAGGTATAGGTGGTGGCACAGAAGAAATTAAACATGGAGACATCTTAGCAGGTGGTGGCACAGAAGAAATTACAGATGGAGAAGTCTTAGCAGGTGGTGGAGGTGGTGGAGGTCGATAATTTGGAGCTTTAATTTGAGACTGTTGTCTTGATCCTACAGAAGTTGATCTTTTCACAGATGATATATTTATAGCATTATTTGTAGATAAACTTGATTTTACTAATTCATTTAAATTATCTGGTGAACTATGATTACGAACAGGCAATTTTGGAGAAGCAACACCAAGATGTATTTTGTCTATTTTACTTACTTGCTGATGCATAGTAGCTAAAACAAAATACAAATTTTGATTTTAATTCATGATAAAATAAAAATAATTAAACTTTAAACTTGCTTTTAAGAAATAATACAAATTTTAGAGAAACAGAACAATCCTCCATACTGTAATATCATATCATTAATATATTTATGAAAATACAGGGCAAGTCAGAAGCCCCTTGCATCCTTTTGATTGCAAAATACTGAAGATATACTGTAGAGCCTTGAAAACTCGGCCTAATGTGGACCGAAGGGCGGCCAAGTTTGTGAAAATGCCAGGTTATCGGGAATGGGGTTAAAAAAAATAAGTATGAGTGTTTCCTCAGAAAATACTGTACTCTACTTGTATGTATTGTTTACTTGAGAATACAACAGAGAATAAACTGCCCAAATACCCTTAAATAAAGGAAAAGTATGTCCTTTATGAAGGCATAGAGCCTTTACTACATGAAAATGAAAATTAATGAATACACTGTGTATAGTAATTTACCCGATAAGACAGACCTCAGAATAATACTTTATGAGAGCTTTTATACTTTTATAAAGCTGTCTATAATGAAAATTAATTAACTAAGGATTTTTTTTTTCACTGCCAGGGTGTGGCCGAGTTATCCGGAGTGCCGTGTTATCAAGTGCCGAGTTTTCGAGGTTCTACTGTATAAACTGTATTAATATAATTACATAGAATGTCGTGCATGGAGAACTGAATGAAATATTTTGTTGACCTTGAAAATGATTTAAGGTTAACTTTTTGATGAGCAAAGGTAATGTAAAAGGTCCAATAACAAAGATAAAGAACCCCATTTAATTAGTCAAACCATTTTCTGGATTCTTAATCAGCATTACATAAATGGTATTAATCCTTCTTAAAAAATGATCTTTAAATTCATTTGAAGTAAAAGTAATTTTGTTTTAAGTGACCTTGAAAATGATTTTTGATAACAACAAAGGTTCCATCCTAGTCTCCATGTGCAACTTCCTATGTATCTACATTAATAAAATTAATACATCTTCAGTACTCTGGAATCAAAAGGGTGCAAAGGACTTTTGACTCACCCTATATAGCAAGTTTAGACTATTTATCATACTACACAAATGCTTAAATGACTATATAATGCTTAATGAGTAAGGAAGAACTTCAACCAAACCAACAGCCAGATTCATATTGGGCTATATTAAAGTTAATTAATTAATATATTAAATAATTTGGAAAAAGCTTATGTTAAAATGAATAATTTGAAATAACAGAGTTTAATTTAAAATATTATGGAAAAAAGATCAGCCCAAAAAAATCAATTCAGCTGTTCAATTGGTTACTAAAGTGTATTGGACTGAATATAAAGTAAGATCATCCCTATATGTAAAAATATCAAAACTAAACATTACTAAATAAAATACTACTGTGATCAAAAAGTATCAGGAATGGTTCATTTAAACTGTGTGCGTGCAATCATTTTTTCAGTGTTTGATATGACTTTCATTGACATCTAGCATCAATCTGTATGTCATCTGTTTTTGTCAAATAAATTCTTGTTTTGTGTTTAAAGAATTTTTGTGCCATTAATTTTTCAAAATGTCAAGTGTAATTGAGCAAAGAACATGCATTACATTTTATTTTTGCAACAGAATTACTGCTACAAAAACATTTCCAATAATGACAGTCTATCAATCAAAAACAAGTGTTTGAACAGTACAAACTTTTCAAGGAAGACAGAGAAGGCACTGAAAATGAACCATGCTCTGGTAGACCATCCACTTCAAATGATGAACATCACCACTCAAATCAGAGATTTGGTGCTTGATGGTTGTTTAACAATGACATTATTGGACATGTTCTAGTATCATTTGGATCTTGTTGAGTTGACTTTTAAATTTGGGTTTCCAGCACATCATTTCTAGAGTTTTCCCAAAAATGTTAAATTTTTCAAAAAAAAAAATAACATGTTCAGGTGGTAAGGAAATACTTTCTTGAAACAAATCATTCCTAAAACATATCATTGTGGGTGATGAAACATTGATCTATGCTTTTGACAATAAAACTGTTCAATAATTGAGTAAATGGCATTTGAAAGGTGTAGCTTGACTGAAAAGATCATGTCAAAATCAGTCAAAACTCAAGGTCATGTTGATTGTCATAGTGTTGTGCATCACAGATTCCTTCTGATTGGGCAAACTGTCAACAAAGATTATTATTACATCATTTGTGTAAAGCAATTTGTAGAAATAAACCTGATTTGTGACAAGAAAAATCATGGATTTTGCATCACAATAATGCACTTGTCCACATTTGCTCAATATGGTATAGTGTGACTTTTTGCTGTTTTCGCAATAAAGATTTCCACTTTGGGTCACTATTTTGAGATGATTGATGCCATAAAAATAAATTTGCTAAGAATCCTGAAAGGATTTCACAAAAGCAACTTTAAAGCATGTTTGAGAGTTGAGAAAAAATTGGCATAGGTGCATTGCAATGGGAAGGGATTACTTTGAGGTGGATGAAATAAATTTTGATGAATAAATTGAAATCTTGCATTTTATTGAATCATTACTAATACCTTTAAATCACAGGGGTATAAAAAACATAAGTAAATTAAATGCGATATTAAACAATCCAAATAAGAAACAAGATACAAACACCTTAGTAATTACATGTAATATGTTAATTTCTCTGAGTTAATAACATTACAATATTATATCTATATACACATTAAAAACTAACAAAATGTATAGGAAAAGACATTGAATCTAAAAACAGAAAAATGCATATTACATTTTAGAAGAGATGTACAAAAATATAATAAAGATTAATAAAAGTCCTTAAAATTAATTTTCAACTTTGTCTTCACTTTGCTTTATTGGAAGTTTGTCTAATTTTGAATTAGCATGGTCAGAAATTCAAGATTTGAAAATAATTTTATAAGCTTGAAGCATTTTTATCTATTGTCATGTTAATGCTACCTATTATAAGATGCAAACACTACAAGATTGGTAGCACGAAGTGAAATCACAGAAAACAATGAAATATATTACAAGTTTTTAACAATTGCATTATTACATATCCAGAAATAGAAATTTAAAATGTGATTTTGTTATATATCCCATAACATGGTGCAGTAGATGTGATTCATTTAACCACAATAGAAACATAGGTATATAAATTTAATTTTTCAAAGTGATGTGCAATGTCAAGAGACAAAAAATAAAATCACCTGTAGAAATGTAACTTTCAAACTGTCATCCCCATCTACTTTTATGAAATCATCTTTTGTCACATGATAAATGACTGGGCATTTATCATTGGCATAGGTGCATTGAATTAGATGATGATAAAGATCAAAACTATGAAGGTGTTGATAATTCTTTTCATAAGTTTTGTATATCTATGAAAAAAATCCCACAAGGTTGCTGTTGAGAACAAATCAGTAGTATCAGAACAAATAGTTTTAGTATCAGTTTATTATTTTGATATATTTCAAACTTTATTATGTTTAAATTATATATCAAAAGATCTTATTTTAAGCAGAATGTAATTTTGTTAAATTGTTTTAAAATATAATTTTAGACTAAAATGATATAAACAAATATAAAAAATAGTACATATTTTTGTATGAAAACAGTTTACGTTCAGTTTGAAATTTTAATCAACAAATAATAAAAAGTGCTTACCAAATTTCAATGACGGATTTTCCAAAACTTTAGGTGGTGGTAATGGTTTAATATTGCTTGTAGATTTACTTGTAGTTTTGTTGATTTCAGAAATTTCGGATGTAGAAGTTACATTAAAACTTGGTTTTAAACTTGCTGGTGGTGGTGTAGGTTTTGTTACTTTTACAGGATAATTTATCGTGTTACATTTATTTGTTTGATATGAACCATTTACATTTAATTTACCAGCTTGAAATTTATTAGAAGACAATGAAGAAGCATTTTTTGATAAATTAGGAATTGGATGTAACATCTTGTCTTGTTTCATTTCTGTATTTTCTGCACTTGATTTATCTACAAAATAATAAACAATTGAAAAATGTGAACAATTACATTACAATTCTAAATAATCAAAATTGTAAGAATATGAAATTATTAATATTTAAATATTTTAAATGAATTAAGAATTTAATTATTGGAATCTAGAACAAATCATTTATTTTATTGGATTATTTTTTCATACCAAAGAAAAACAAGACTAGGTCATTGACTAAAAAAACAAGCAATTAAAGTAACATAAAATAATGAAACCTTCAGAATACTATACAGTGGTACCTCGGTATATGTCTGCTTTAGAATATGTCCAATTCAGAATACGTCCTGTTTGGACGAAACAAATTTTGCTCAGTATAAGACTTAATTCAATTATATGTGCCATCTATGGAACAAGTAGCACTATCAGTGTACTAGGCCAGACTACACATTCGCAGTGCCATAGTTTATAACTTTGTTAAATTTCTTATGATTTTAATTTGTAAGTAAAATTTTATTATTTTTATTAATCATGAATTGCAAAAAGGCAATATGAAAAGCAACAGAAAACTAAAAAAATGACTAGAATCACAATGGAACTGAAAAAACAAACTGTTGAGAAATATGAAGGTGGCATGCGTGTTCAAGATTTTAACTGTTGCATACCGTATTCCGAGAACGACGATATCGACAATCATGAAAAATAAAAACATTATTAAATCTGTTAACGCTGTGAAAGGGGTTAAATCAATTTTTAAACAGAGATCGAAGACATTAGATCATGTTAAGAAATTGCTATTGCTTTGGATAACTGAAAAACAGTGTGCTAGAGACAGTATATCAGAAGCAATTATTTGTGAGAAAGCTAAAAAGATACATGCTGATCTCATGAAAAATCAAGCAGACAAGCTAGCCAAAAAAGCGAGGTGTTTAAAGCCAGCCATTTTTTCTCGTGAGAACGGATTAATCATTTTTACATTACTTCTTATGGGAAAGGTTGGTTTGGTATACATCCTATTCGGTATAAGTCTAAACATCAGGAATGAATTAAGGTCATATACCGAGGTTCCACTGTAGTTAACAAGTGACAATGTCTTTGAAGTCTTAAAAAAAATTGGGGAAAAAAACAAATATACAGCAGTGTTAAAATAAAAATATCTTTTATAAGCATCTGTTGGTTATCAAATGAATAACAGTCGCTTCAGCTTCATCTTTTATAAATTTAAAAGATTGATCCATTTTAGCTTATATATCAATACAAAATTAAAATTTATTTTAATTTTGTATTATATATAAGCTAAAATGGATCAATATGGACCCAAAACATTTCTTAATAAACATCTAAGTTATCTGTTAGCCAAAATCAAACTTTTTGCAGCAATTTAGTCTGTATTTATTTCAATAATAAAATATAAAATTTGACAATTCATTAAGGTGTTTTTTAACAGAAAAAGATTCAATAAAATCTGATCCTATCACTAAATCAGCTTTTTATTATAGATTTGCATTGAGCTGGGGTTTCCAACTGTGTTCTGCAGAACTATAGGATTCCACTAATAAAAATTTGGGGTTCCACAATTAAAACTATTGAGTCTAGTAATGTATGAATGTGCCAATGCAGATTTGGGAGGTGTAATTGTTCTAGTCTCGGATCAAGTCCTCATATCATTATATGAAAAGAGTATACGCATGCTAGAGTTATTTATAGCTTTATAAATAGTGGGGACCAATTTATCAGTAACAAAACAAATCAAAGTTGCAATATAATGTTTGACAAGGTAATGGAAACCATAAAAACAGTAAAACAAACTAAAGCTAGAAAATCATTCAATAAAACAAATCTTAAAAAGAATCTAACATATAAATAAAAATACAATCATTAACGCTGTATGTCAGGGGTCAGCAACCTTTTTTGGCTGCGGGTCAAAATCAACCAAAATATATGTATTAAGAAGACACTTAAAGTCAGTGGTAATTTCATTTTAAAACAGTCTCACCAGTATTACCACATGTCTGTTAAATTAAGGAATTATGCATCAGCATTGCCAAACTTATTGATTTATTCTTGTTTCTTGTTATTATGTTATAAGTTTTATATTTTAAAAATAAAAATGCATGTTCATTATTAGAACTTTGTAATCACACAAAAATGTTATTATTTATATTCAGTTTCGTAATTCCTTTACATATATTCAGTTTATTTTTTTAATGTATTCTTCAAGTGTTCATTTCATATTTATGTTTTATAATTTATTTTATATACTGTATTATATTTTATCTTCGGAACTCAAGTAGGTCACTTGAAATTATGAAATGGATCACTCGGTGACCCGCGGGTCATAGGTTGCTGAGGCCTACAGTATATATATATATTAAAGCAAAATGTTCCATCACTGCTGCAAACAAATAACAAATTTAAAAATAAATTTGATTTACAATTTGAAATGAAATTTTCAAATCATAAATCAAATTTAAAACAACATTTAAATGGTTTCTTAAAACATTGTTATAATTTTCAATTGATTTAATTTTAATTTTAGTTTTGGTGTAAAGTGACTACCTAGTATGCTTTAATTGATATCTGCAGCATGAATCTATTGAATTTAATAATGGGAGCATCATGTCAGATGCCAAATGACACAGTACTTTGATACCAATGACATGACATGACACTCATGCAATGTCACCAAGCATTAATTAATACTCCATCACGTAAAATGTGTTGAAGCACAATGGTACATCTTATGAGCAGGCATATCAGTGAAAGGTGATTAGTGATTTGCACTACAATCATTTTGTGATATTTTAAATATGTTTCACATAAAAATATAGTAAGAATCATATAAATTTATAGTGCTTTTAATATTGTTCCATAATAAAAATAAGTTGGGAACCTCTGGCATAGAGCATATAATGATAAAACTAAGTTTCATCAATTGAAGTATTTATTTTTATTCACAAATACATACAGTAGCATTAAATATGAATGCCCTCGAACAGAGATTCCTGATAAAAATTACAAATAATAATAACATATAACAATGTAAACATAAGAGGATAAAAAATAGACCTAATACTATAAAAAAAATACAGTCAAACATATCTAATAATAGAACCTGTATATAACAAAAACTTGTCATTAACAGAAAACTTCTTTGGTTCCTTGAATTTTTTGCGTAAAGAAATGTAAATTAGCCTGTATATAGCAGAACTTAGCCAATGTGGAAACAGGAAACAATCAAACCATATAACAAAAAAATTATCCTTATCCAATTTAACACAAATTTAACAAGTTTACAAGCCTAGCATGTATAAATCATAAAGTCAAAAAGTAAAGTACATATACCCAATAAAAAATAGCAAAATATGACAGCTGCATTACAGTAATTTTATTGGGATTTAAGAGAAAGTTTTTTGGTATATTTATTAACAGCTATTTTTACTTAACATAAATGTGATGTAATTATAAGTTGTGAAATTCAACACATTATTCCTGATGAGAAATTGTATTCTTTGTTTTGAAGCTTATGTTAAACTTTTTTACATCACATTTTGTCAAAATATCTGCAGATAAAATATCTTATACTTTTCAAGTTTTGTAAAGGTTATCAAGCTATACAAACAGTAAAAAATTCTCATACTATGTATGGGGAAGATGATTCTAAACTTTGAATGTGTCAAATGTGGTTTTGAAAATTTTGAACTAAAGGATACAAAACATACAAGACCCGAAAAGCTGTTGAAGAGAAATTGCAAAAAGAAATTTTTTAAGACTGATGAATAACAAGTTGTGAATTTGAAACAAATCTTCGTGCATCACAGACACATATTGTTGAAATATTGCATCCACTTGAAATGGTTGTAAAACATGCTGATGATTGTTTCTGCACACGGTTTGCTTTTTTTTTCACTTATGAAAAAAAAATGAACTGAATTGAGTATTTTGACCCATGAAGTTAGGCAGCTGTAAGGTTTTATTTTATTTTTAAATTGATTACTCATTTTTATCTTAGAGAACTTTTTTATGGATGAATGAAAAAAATTAAAGTTAAAATAAAAATATTTGTTATTAACCAAAAAATTTGTTCTAGCAGGTGGTGATTGTTCAATCAAGTTTGAGGTACCAGTGTATTTGTACAGTACAACTCGTACTTATGGAGTGTACTACTGTTTTGAATAAGATAAAGGCAATAAAAAAAACTACTGAACAAAATTCAATTATAACAATTAATTATAACGTTAGGCAACCGTCTTTCTTCTTCGTCTCAAAAACAACTAGTGCCCTCTGCTTTTTTTCTCTCTTGCTCTTGGCAGGATTTTCTCTTAAAAACTTCTTACATCTTGGCTATGACTGCTTTTAGACAAAACTATAGCTTTTGTTTAAAATTCTTGTCTTTTCTTCTAGAGACATTAGTAACAGTTTTTAGTTTGTAGTTTCATTTGCACACAGTCCTTCCCAATCAGTTCTTAGATGATAAGGACTAATCTGACTGATGTATACAATCCTGTTGTCATCATCTTGAATTCCCTCAATGAGATAAGTGACAGGGTTAACTATCCTCTTTAATATATATGGGCCTTTCCATTTGCTCTGAAATTTATGTCTGTTTAAACGATGGTATTACACTAAGTTGTGTTCCTTAATCTTAGATTTGTGCTTATTTTTATCAAAAGATTTTTTATTTTGATCATGAGCTTAAGCAAGATTTTCAACTGCTTGTACTCGATTAATAAACAGCTCAGTCAATCTATTCTCAGCTTCTTTCAGAGTTTGTCCCTCTCCTAATCTTTGTATTTATGGTGTTCTTTTCTCAAAACCAAAAAGTAAGTAGAAAGGACTTTGTTGAGTTGACTTGTGTTTCATCGTGTTATAAGCAAACACTGCTGTTGATACATGTCTTTTCCAAGCTGTGATATCATCACCAGCATATTTCCTAAAGATGTCTTCTAGAGTACAGTTTGTTCTCTCCATAAGTCCATTCGCTTGGAAGTGGAAAGCTCAAGTTCAGATATGATGAATGCCATGGTTCTCCAGAAAGTTC